TGCTTCCCCACAATATTCCAAGCCTATCTTACCGTTAAGCTATGGCACATGATTAACTTCTGGCTGAAGAAATGTGGGCAAAGTGATGTATACCATTTTAAGGCTTGAGCCACAGAACCCTTCCATGAAATTTTACTTTCTATTTCCCCAACTGCCAGCTGAATGTCAATGCTAATATGACTTTGGAAGCCATATGTTAAAGACAAAAGAACTTTCATAATTCTAGGTTCTTGAATGACTACATGGAGTCATTCCCTCTCCTGAAAATGGCAGTTTGACTATGAGTGAAAAAATAAATTCTGTGGTATTTGGCCATGGAGATCTGGGGGGATTTTCTGTTAATAGCAGCTAGTATTTTCCTAACACTGGCCTCTACTTGAAGTAAGTAGTGGTCCTGATACCATTATAATAACCTGGTTATTAATAATAGGAAAGGAGCAAAGGAGGGACTGGATAATATAGGCAAGCCTTTTATGCAGTTAACATTCTCCAAGTCTGTTCCCCACAGATCACTGGACAGTAGAGGCATGCCCAGTAAGGTCTGGGTGATGTGGGAAGATGCTTATCTGTCAGTCACACCTGGTAGCAAATCAGTGGCCAGAATAGATGTGGCCACTGCAAGAGTGGGAAAGCTGATATAGTTAACTCCTAAACAAAGTAAGTTCCCTCTCTTGCTCTCTTGGCCCACTTGTTCTCTTGTTGCTGTAGGCACACTCCCTTGCATTCGCCCACGTGGCTCATGGCCATGTGGGACCCACACAGTGGACTAATGGACTAATTAGCCTGATGCTATATTGGACTTGGCTTCACCATGGAATGAAAGCTCTGGATACTGGCTTTGCTTTTAGCTCTGCTAAAGCCCTAGCTGCACCTTTTGCAGGACTGGTTTAAGGAACATGGGACTTTACAAACCAAGGGATCTAACTTTACACAAATAAAAACTATTCATGCTCCTGGGTAAGTCTTAGAAAATCCTTTTTCTCAAGATATCGCAAAAACCCCACTCTCACTAGTGATGGAGAAATTCCACCCACTCAGTTCCCTGGCGGCAGTCCCACTTTTGATCACATGCTAATTATACAAGCACCTGACCACTTATAAGTCATGATTAAGTTCTTAATCAAACCACCATGGTTTCTGGGTGTGTGTATAGGGGTAAGAGTGTGGCAGGGAGGGTAGGTCATTTTGCTCTTACAGCTACATGTGTTCATGACAAATGTCTCTGATGAACACTGAATACATTCAAACCTGAACTAATTTTATTTATTTTTTATTTCAATTATTGGCATTACTCTTACATTCACTCAGACAAGCTTCCTGCTTTCATTTTCTCATTTAATTAGTCAAAGAGTCCTTTTGATCCTACATTTTAAACACTTCTCATATTTATCTCTTATTTTCTTCCTTTCTATTCCCACTGTGGGAGATCAGACCTCTATTATTTCTTATCTGGATTATTGCCCTGGCCTCATAACTCCTCAGTCTCCAAATGATACTACATCTTGCTGCCAGATTAATCTTTTTAAGGCTCTGTTCTGATTGTATCACTCCTCTATCCAAAAACCTTCAGTAATTCTTCATTGTCGGCCAAAAGTGTTCAGATTCCTCTGCAAGGCATTCGAGGCACTTCACGACCTGATTCCAAGCCAAACCTTATACCTCCCACTGCTCTCCTTTACATAGTTGTACACCAGCCGAACTGGACCTCTTACTGTTTCTTAAATGTACACTAGTTCCTGCCTCCTTACCTTTTGCTCTTTTTAAACTATTTCCTTCAGCTTATAATTTCCTCTATGTCTATTGTTGCCTGTCAAAACTTTGCCCTTCAAGGCTCAGATGAAATACCTCCATGAAATCTTTTCTGATCTCCTCAGTGAAAAGGAATGCCAGTAACACTGCACATACCTCCCTTCTGGCACTTGTGACATTTTACTTTGAAGTGTAGAGGCAATGAATTGTAGCGGATTTGGTGTCAGATAACTTTGGTTTGAGTCTGGGTTCCGGTTTTTATTACTTTTGTGTGATCTTGGTGCAAATCATTTAACCTCTCTTAACCTCAATTTTCTCTCACATTAAATAAGAATGAGCACTTCTGTATAACTCACAGCGTTATTTTGAATATCAAATGGAAAGATATATGTAAAAGTTTTACAATCTAAGTTTATATTTTGTCTAATCTCAACTACCTGTTAAATTTCCTGTTTCTAGGAAGTATGTTTCATTAATTTTTTAATGGGATTTATAGATCAGGTACTCAATAAATGTTTGTTTGTTGAATTAATACATTTTTAATATAATTTATATTGTAAAGAGAATGTCAAGAATTATTTTAAGTTTACATTCCACATAAATATTGATCTCTTTAGTGCAGTCTCTCCCTTTTTACATTTATTTAAGATTTCTTGTTGTTGTTAATCCTCACTTGAGGATATTTTTCCCATTGGTTTTTAGAGTGTGGAAAGGGAAGGAGGGAGGAGAGGAGAGAGGGACTGAGAGGAACATGATATGAGAAAGACACATCAACTGATTGCCTCTGGGTCGGGGATTGAACTTGAGCTACATGGGCCATGGCAAGATTGCTTCTTACAACACTTCCATTCTTCAATTCTAATGGGGCAAAGTCATGCTGTCTATTTACATTTATGTAGTCATCTCTTCAATGTTGATAATCCAGTCCAATTAAAACTTCTATCAATTGTATCGTAAGTCCTTTGACAGTTTATTTCAGTGTGGAAATTTTCTAGAAGTCTCCACAGTACTGTAACTTTGGGCACTTAGATCTCATCATTCTTGTACCTCATATTTAGCCCTGTCTCCATGCCACACCCCCATAAATAAAAGAAAAAAAGTTTTTGTTCAGAAGAGTTTTCTTATGAAGGAAGTGCTTCTTCTTCCTTAGTGCCCTGAAGGTTAGCTGAAGTGCAAGAAACCACAAGGTAGAAGTGTAGGACTTTATATATGGTATGCATATAATCTGCACTCGCCAGAATAGCCTGCCCTGCTTTTTGGTCAATTAAGAGGATTGCCCAACTGGATTGTTACTCTTTATTTCTATTTTCCATTTCTTCTAGTGTCATTGGTCCAGAACCACTCAACAGTTAGGAATGAGACCCACAAGGGAAGGGTATGTTGCAAGAAACAGAAATATTGAATATACAACAGTTCAGAGCATGTAGATCATAATGAGAGTGTGTCACTCGGTACAAAATGTTCATCTAGAAATCACTCTTGTTTGTTTCTGTGATTATACCAATGAAGAATCAAGCCAAGTGAACCACAGTCCTACTCCGGGCCTGCAGAGAGAACAAGGGGTGCATTTCTTCTCCAGTGGGAAGAGAGTTTGTTTGAGTTACTTAAGTGACAGTTTAGGATTAAGGAGTGACATCATTCCTACTTGGAAGAGTCTGGCTGGATTTGGTGCCATTTTTGGAAAGTGAGAGTGATGCACCAAGAATGGCAGACTGCTGAGAAAGAAAATTATGTAGAAACCTCCCAATCCCCCTGAGTTTTATTCAAGAAGGAACTCAAGGGCAAAAGACAGCCTGGGCACCAAAGTGCAAGTTCCTGCTAATAGTCTTGATATGGAAAGAATTGTGTGCCTGAACTACTTCAAAGCATATTTGTCTGATCCCATACATTTATTTAGATGGAATCTTAGTCTCACAGGTTTTTACATAGAATTTTCTATCTTGTCTTGTGTTGAGGGAGGGTATTTCATGAGAAGAAGAGGGAAAATACAAACGAAAGGATTGTCAGAAGCTGTGATGAATCAAGCAATCTCTGGAGAATTGCTGAGATAAAAATGGAGCATAATTTGTTTATGCACCTCCTCTAGAATAGTCATTGCCATAGCCTCTGTGTGCCTTAAGCTTGTATAGTTTGTGGTTGGAGGATAGGATTGCCCATGCTGACAGAGAAGGTTGTGGCAGACTGGGTAATCCAATATCGAGTTTAACACACATCTAAATAAAAGTAAACATGTTTTTGGCAAATTGATAAATGATAAGAAGATCAGCTTCCTGTCTTCAATAGGCCAAACTGTGGTTGATTAGCTTAATGCTTAGTTAAGGTGATAGAAGTTGAATCCTGGAAAGGACCAATTTTCTTTTCAGAAACCCAGTCTGCCCCACTGATGAGGCACACGGCTAAGCCCAGCATCTTCTGCAGGACAGTTATTTTACATATCTGTATTTTCTCACAGCTTCTTGCCAGTAAGTTTTAAAATAAACAGACTAGAAATATTGGTTATAAGAGGAACTGATAGAGAACATTGATGATACCATCGCTACTGGAAAAAGTCCAATGTGGCACCTTCTGGATTTGTAGGCAATAATATCTTTTGAATTCAAAGCAATTCAAGACAGTGACCCCGGGAAAGGGTTGGACTGGGGGCAAGAATGCTAATTTTAGTAAGTTTTAGTAAATTTAGTATACCTCTGCCCCTCCCTGCCTTTTCAACTTCTCTGTGCTCAGTTTATTTTGTTAATCCTTTGAGATGTTCTGACCTCCAGTCTGTGGATGGGGGAGGCAGAGCGGCACGCAGACTCCTCTTGGCGCTGGCATACAGGCATGTTAACTAGAAGCATACGTGGGGCCAGTTATTTGAATTGAAAACAGACTTGAATGAAGAGCTAGCTATATTGTGTTCCAATATCTCCATGTCCAACAAGTTATCAGCAGGTTATGTGGAATGAAAAGGTCTTCCAGCAAGCCGGGCTCATCACCGCCTAGTGATTTAATTTGAGAGCCCAGATGGTAAATTGGACTTGACGTAAAACAGCAGCCAAGGCCGAGCGTCCGCCGGGGTGTGCTGGGCTTGCCTTGGGCTGACCTAACCAGCAGGCCTGCTGTCACGTCTGAGTCATCTGCTGTCAGAGGACAGCTCCCTGTGGGAGGTCCAGGTTTCGAACGTTGCAATAGTCTAGACAGGAGGTGACAAACACGTTGACCTTTGGGGCAAGATTGATCTCCGTGGTTTTTGACAGGAGGCCTTTCCAGAAGGGAGTCTCGGGAGGAACAGTCTAGAAGCTTCGTCGTCTGTGAGTAGAATCCAACCTATGCATCTGTTCCACCCAGACTAGAATGCCAAAGAGAGTTTCTCAAGGTTATTTATTTATTTATTTTTTAGCTAAACAGCGATGCTTATTTATTTCATCACTTTTCCTAAAATGTTCACTCTGGACTTCAAGAGGGGGGTGTTTGCTGAGAGAAAAAGGAAAAAGGGGAAAATAACTTCCTTTAATGGTGTATCAATTCTGAGGCCAAGAAGAGGTGCTTT